TTCTTGACTACTTATAGTCTGATAAAAATGATTCTTACCACTTTCCTGTTAATGCCAGAATCTTAGAACACTTAACTCCGTTTATACAGCCAGACACCTTTTGTGTCTTTGTCATGCATTTTAACTTTACATACATTTTGAACCCCATAAGTTGTTTTATATTGCCAATATTATTATTTATATTTACCTACATATTTTCCTTTCCTGTTGTTCTTTGTTTTTTCCTCCAATTATGTGATTCCTTTAAGGATTATTTTCTTTCTGTCTAAATCATATTTTTTAGTGTTTTTTTTTCATTTGGGGTTCTTGACAATTAAGCCTCTTAGCATTTGTCTAAAAACTTATCTATTTTACCTTTTTGTTTTGGAAAATGTCCAGGCCTTAAGAAATGTTATGTCATACCCATGAACACCCATGTACACTTTACCTAGATCCACCAATTAAAATTTTTCCACATTTATTTTCTCTTCCTATTTTTTTTTAATGTGATTCCTCTGGGAGTTAGTTGCAAATATCATGACATTTCTCCCTAAATATTTAATTCAGTACATATTTCATAAGAACAAGAACATTCTCCTACATAACCACAATACAGTTAGCACACACATTATTTATCATTGATACACATTATGTCATCTGTATTCATAGTTCTCCATGTCTCTATAATGTACTTGATAGCATTTTGTTTTGATTTTTGTTCTTTTTTCATCTGAGATCCAATCAAGAATCATGTGTTGCATTTAGTTATCAAATTTTCTTGGTGTCCTTTTATACAGAACTGTTCCTTAGCCTTTTTTTGGATATTAATGTCAGGTATTTTTGAAGTGTAAGCCAGTTTGTGGAATATCCTCAATTTGAAGTTGTATTGTTTTATCATGATTAGATGCAGGTTAAATGTTTTGGGCAGGAATATCCCATAAATGATGTATTTTTTTCATTACAACACAAGAGGGAGCACAGAATGTCAGTTTGTAGTATTTTTACTAATTTTTAAAAGAAAGTTAACATTTTTGTTATTTCCCTTTTTATCCAAGAGTTGTTTCATAGAATTTGAAAAATTCCTGGCAAGAGAGGTTTTTAAATTTTGCATTGTTTTCAGTCTGTTTTTATTGCATAGAAATCAGAGAATGTTATTTCTATAACTGCTTAATAGAGTTTGATTATTTGTGATCTAATATCACTCTTCATGACTATTCCATGTATACTTCAGAAAATGGTTTATTCTCGGTTATCAGGATAAAAGTTTGATAACTATCTGTAAGATTGACCTTATTAATTGGTGCTCTATTTCATTTTTTTTTGTCAGCTTGATTTCTGTTAGAATGATAGTAGTGATATGTGAAAGTCTGTTATTAGTGGGTTTCTGTGTATTTCTCTTTCCATCTTTCATAGTTTTTGCTTTAGGAAGATGGTTGTGTGATTTGGTGTATTAATATTAATAACTGTTACATTTTCACTGTACTGCTATTTTTAGATATTGTAAGTGTTTCATCTCTGACTTTCAACTTGAATTTTCATTGCCTGATATCAGGGCCATAACCTTGGATATCCTACTGTTTTAATTTGTTTTGTGTGCTCTTTCCCATGTCTTTATTTACTTTTGATTTAATGTTTTTGGGTATGTATTTTATATACAGTATAGAGTTGTTTTTGTTTTGTGAACCAATTTGAAATTTAAGAAAATAGGCAGCTTAATCACATTTACATTTATTGGCATGACTGTTATATTTGGTCTCTAATTTCTTATTATTTTGTTATATTTACAGTTTCTTTATGGTCTGTTTGTGTGTGTGTGTGTGTGTGTGTGTATATGGATATATGAGTGTGTGAGTGTGTATCTTTTGGTACTTCAGAAGGCTTTAACTTTTTGTTCTATTGTTTAACTTTATATTAATATCTTTTCTCATGTCCTTATCTGCCTTTTCCTTACTTAACCTACTCTTTTATTTTTTATTTTTAAAAGATACCTTTTGACTCCTACTTATTAACTAAGTTATACTCAGTGAACTTATTTTACTTTCTCTTTTCTTTCTCCTTCCATTTTAAATATTTGCATCAATTCTGCTTTTTTTTAGAAAATATAACATTTATAAATCATTTTTCTACTCTTGTCCCCACTCTTATTTTAGTTTTAGATCTTTAATTAAATATATCCCATGCTTACTATCAGTCTTTTTTTTAACTGAAGTTTACCCATGCTTTTTAGTTATAAGAAGCTCAGCTCTAATAAATTTCTCAGGAAAGACTTGTAAGTACAGTAATTCCTGAGTTCTTGGATGTTTAAAACTTTTTCTTTAGCCTTGACACTTAAAGGACAGTTTGGCTGGACATAAAATGTTTGGTTCACACTTTTTCCCTTGAATTTCTTTAAAATGTTGCTCTGCTGCTCTGTATATTGCCATTGTGAAATCTAATTGCCACGCTGACTTTCTGTTCTTTATGAATGACTGAATCTCTTTGTCTGGAGAAAATAGGAGGGTTTTTTTTTTTCCTTTTAAGTCTAATGGTTTTATATTAGCATATGTCTTGGAATAACTATTCTGGATCAGTTTTCATTATACAACTGCAAACTCAAACTTTCTTTTATTTCAGGATGATTTCTTATAGTTTATTTTTATTTTTTAAAATGTTCCTTCTATATGTTTCTTTTTTTAAAGAGACTTCCTTTCTACATTTGTTGGATCTTCTTTTTCTTCTATACAACCACTTTCTCTCTTTTGGATGTGATACTACTTTTCAGAAAATATCTGCAAATACTAACTTAAGGTTGGAGTGTTGTGATACAAGATTGTTTTGCTTCATTGTTCTTGGGTGGGGGATTTTCATCAGGTGAAATGTTCTGATTCTCATTTTATGTTTTTAGTAGCTTTGTATGAATTTGGTCTGCCTTTTTCTGTTTGTTTTCTGATTTTTTTGGTAATTTTTATTTACTTGAATAAATATTAACAGTTAAGTGTAAAAAGTCAAGATTATGTGTTGCAAAGTAAGTTTCTTATTTCAAGAGCATCTTTTTCTCTCAGTATAGTGAAATGCAGTTTTTTTTTAATCAATGGCACTCTTTTATTGGAGGGTGGGATTTGTGTGTTTTCTGATTTTTGTGATTCTCTTTTGTGTCCTTAGAATTCTTACTTTCGTTTTCTTGCTGCCCTCTTTACTTTCACTATCAAGTTCTCAATAGGATGCCTTTTCCTTCCAGCTTACCCCTTCTTTCCACAGAAGTGGTGCCTTTTTTTGAAGCTACTCCCTCACATCCTGAACAGTTTCAAGCCACTTGTTTTTGATTTCCTAGTAGCCTGCGTTTTAATATCCTAGATCTTAAACTTGTTGTCAGTATTTCATAACCGTGTGTGTTTTCTCTTTTGTGGATTTTGTCTTTGTTCTGTCAGTCCTAGGTTATCCACACTTCTCTTTTACTCCCTTCCTTCATCTCTCCCTCCCTACCATCTTTTCTTCCTTCTTTCCCTCCCTCCCTTCCTTCTTTTCTCTGTTGCTGCACACACTTGCCCGTTTCTTACCACAGTCATAGGCTTTGCAGATGAATCTCCTGGATTTGGATATTTTCTTACTTACGGGTAATTCTAAGTTAATTTTATCTGTCTCCTAGTTTTAATGAAGACATGGGTTATGGGTGATTATATTTGCTTATGTTACCTATTATGGTTTTTCGGAAGATGCATGAAGAAATTTAAATTTAGGCAATCACCATTACTCACTACAACCATAAAGACATTACCTTCACTTTTGAAGAATATTTTTTGCTGAGTATAGAAATTGCAGATTGGCAAGACAATGGCCTGAGGGTAAAAGCAGCTACAGGAGCCGGCATATCTTTCCATATTTCTTCTTTCTTTGGATTTTTTTAGCTACCCTCTACTTCTTGCCTCAATTGCTATCTGAATTATCCAGCTTTTCTCATCCTTCTAGGTTGGGAGTGTCCAGTATGTCTTCAGGTGTTTCATCCCATTGTGGGTCTCATATCGTTCATAGCTTAAAGATAAGAGCTAGGGCTTTATAGCTTTAATTTTCAGCTTTATCCATAACATCATGAATTGTTGTCATACTTTTATTAAAACCTACTATATTGGGGACCCCTAGACCACTCCCAGGCTTGATGATTTGGTAGAAAGACTCACAGGACTAGCATATCACTGTATTCATGGGTAGGATTTATTATAGAAAAAGGGTACAAAGTAAAATCAGCGAAGTAAGCAGGTGCATAGGCTGAAGTCCAGAGGAACCCAGTACAAGCTTCTCAGAATACTTTCCCAGTGAAGTCTCACAGGATGTGCTTAATTCCTCTGTCAGTGAGTTGGGTCAGCATATGTGCAATGTTGCCTACCAGTGAAGTTCATTAGAGACTCTGCACCCAGGTGTTTTATTAGGAGCTCTTTGTGTAGGCACTCTCTACCAAGCACGTACCAAGATTCTAGACTCCCAGAAGGAAAGTCGGAGTTCAACATAAACCATATTGTTTGCGGAAACAGATGAGGCACAATGAGCCACTCGTATCAGTTAGGGTGGCTGGAACCTTCTTGAAATACAAGTTCCTCAAAGCCAGCCAAAGGCTTTTCTAAGGATAGCAGTTTAGGTCTGTTAACTCCTTTCTGCAATAGCTACCTAGCCAAACACTTTACTCATCTTACTAGGAAAAGCTGTTAAGGATCTAAGTCATCAATGTCATGTCTAATATATATATCTAATATATATCTAGCTCAGCGATGCCATATCTAATATAATTGATTTTTTCTCAGCAAAACTGACAAATAATAGTGATGAAAATAAATGAAACAAAATTATTTTTCTTTAGCATACTCAGAAAATTATACTCAGTGAAGCAGGATAGGAAAATTCTCAGTCATAAGCTTAAGATTTTAATCTTTTTAAACATTTTAAATTGAGATATGTTACAGTAAGTAACCTTTTCTTCCTGCATTAATTTTTGTTAATGGGCAGAGGAAGTGACTGTGTAAAGGAATTATATATTCACTCTTTTCTTTCAGCCTAAGAAAGCTGTCAAGGTGAAACCTTGTCCACCTGTAGCTCCCCGACCTTCGAGTGGTTCCACGGCAGCTGCTCGCCGCAGATTGTTAAGGGCTCTCCCCCACATTGGGCAGTCTTGTTTACCTTCTCCTGGGAACACGTGTCTACCTGCCTCCATCAGCAATGCAATTTCAAGTTTGGCAACTCTGCCCCCTGCTGATAGGCCCATGTCGTCTATCGCTAGTGATTTTCTAAAGGAAGATGATACCTGGGAGAGTAACGCACTGTCTCATTCCAATGGTAGCTTCAAACTATCACCACCTCAGATACCCCTTATGGAGTTCAAAAATGACAAAGAGCTTGCTGATTCTGTTCTCCATCTTGGCTCATCCCTACCTAGACGGACAAAACACTTTGCAGGAAATTTGTCATCTAATAATGAGGATGACCCTGCTTTATTTCCCCCTTCAGAAGAGCATGTAACTGAAGAATCGCTTCTACCTGAAGTGGATTCATTTGCTTCGTTTACAGAAGGAAACACTGACAAGCAGAGCAGTGGCTTAGAAGGCACGCGGAAGGGAAATCCAGAGTTCTTACTCACTAATGGGGATAAAGGGCTGAAAGCTACAGAGAAGCATCTTAAACATGTTGCAAGAGTGTTGAGTGGTGAACTGGTGGAGACCACAGTTCTGAACCACCGTGAATTAAGTCCTCACAAGAATAGACTTTTATCACCTCTTCGCTGTTCTGCACCGACGTCACTCCATAATTCTCTGGTGAAACCACAGAGACAGTCCAAATGTTTTGACTCTGGGAACCTCCAGTCTTCTGCTTCACAAAATGCACTTCGGTCATTGGATGTTCGAAATATAAGTGATTCTTCTTTCTCTAGGACTACTCGCTTTCGAGCTGTTAAAGTTGATTCACCTGGGAAAAGAGCTGATATTATTTCTAAAGTCGAGGCTCGGGATATCACAGAAATGGCCAACAAGGCTTCCAAAGAGCCTGTTGGTTGTGTAAATAATATAGGTCTTCTTGCTTCGTTGGCCCGGAGCGCAAGCAGAGACGGCTTACAGAGCACCCGTGGGGCAGGCAGGCTTCGGACCTCTGGAGCTGGGCTGTCTACAAACCTCCAACATTTTCAGGGGGGAAAGCCTTAGGAAGAGTTCTCCCCAGTTAGAACCTACAGAATTTTTTCTAGTAAGTATTTGCCTTTCAATATATTCTACTAGTTATCCTTGTAGTGATTCAACATAAAGTTGATTTTTTGTTTGGATAATCCATAAGGAGGCCTAAAGTTGAATTCTTTTCATAACTTTCTCTTAAAATGTTTATCTAGTTTGTAGAAAATTTTTTGACAGTTGAATTTTAAGTAATTTTTAGTCCTAAATTGGGAAATTTAATTTGATAATAATTAGTGTAAGTAGTGTATCATATTTTTTCCTTTTTTCTTTTTTCTCTTTATCATTTAAATGCTAAATATTTTTATTAGTATTTTTTCCAAATAAGAACTTTTATTTGAGCCATCAAATTTTACTCTCTTAAAGTATAATGTTGATGGATGTGAGAATCAGGTTCCAAGTAAATTTAATTAAAGATAGATTAAATAATTTTAAATGAAAGCCCAACATCATTTTTGTAGTAAAATACAAGTATTTCATGTTTGGTGATCTTTTCTTCTGTTCGCCATTAACTCACCTCTCTAGCTGTTCTGTGTTTTAATTGTAGTCTGCCCGTGGTACTGGAATGAATGGAAATAATACAGCAGCAGGGAAAAGAGTAGGTAAGCTACAGATAATTTTGAAAACCATGTAAGACAAATAATTATAGCATTATTCATACTGTGGAATTTTCAAAGAGAAATAAGAATGTTCTCTGGCATGTACAGGGAAAACTCTTCCTAAACTTTGTTCCACTTAAGAAAATGGTTATAAGAACTGACAGTAAGACCTATTTGAATAATAAAACAAAAATTGAAATTGAGGTCTTTGTTGCTTGAGAAGAGATACGGTCTATGTGAAAAGACAAGATACATGGCAAATTAACATGTAGATCACAACCCTCCCTGGCCACTCTAGAGCCACACTGGGTGCTGGATGGGTTTTGAGGAAGTACCCTAGAAAAGTGTTTCTTAACATCATGGTCCAGTATCAAGGACGGTACTTAGAGTTCTGTTTGTTGAACTGATTATTTCTGGATAAAAGAAAGGGACAGTCAGTCTCTTTAACTAGCCCTTTCCAAGGCATAGTAGCAGAAGTGACTGTATTGTTAGCATTCCCTTCTACCAGTAACAGCTTAAAGATGCACTGGCCAGCCATTATTCCAAAGAAGCCATTACTGTCATCATCTTTTGTGTTTTAATGCCCAAACTAGACATGGAAGCTCTTACTGAAGATGTACCACCTTTCTGGCCCCAAGGTTCTAAAGGGTACTTTATATATTATGGTTATCATGCGAGTTCTATGTCTTCAAAGAGGTACCTAGGTTTGGTTTCCACTACTATGTAAGGTCCAAGGTCCTAAAATCTTAATATATCTTCCGTTTTCAATTTTTTAATTCTGGTAAAATCCACATAACGTAAAATTGATTAGTTTAACCATTTTAAGTGTACAATTCAGTAGCATTAAGTTCATTCACATCTTTTGCCAGCCAACACCACCAATCCATCTCCGGAACTCTTTTCATCTTGAAAAACTGAAACTCTACCCATTAAACACTAATCCTCATTCCCCTCCCCACCCCCCCAGGCCTTGGTAAGCACCATTCTACTTTCTGTGTCTGTAATTTTAACTACTCTTAAGTACCTCATATAAGTGAAATCATTCAGTATTTGTCTTTTGGTGCCTGGCTTACTTTACTTAGCATAGTTTCCTCAAGTTCCATCTATGCTGTAGCGTGGATCAAAATTCCCATACTTCAATATTCCATTGTATAGATACACAACGTTTTGCTTACCTATGCATCTGTAGATGGAGACTTGCTTCCACATTTTGGCTCTGGTAAATAAGGCTACTATGAACATGAGTGTACATGTTCTCTTTGAGATTATCTCAAATTATCTCTTTGAGATTTTGATTTCAGTTCTTTTGAGTGCATACCCAGGTGGAATTCCTAGATCATATAGTAGTTCTATTTTTAATTTTTGGGGGAGCTGCCATCCTATTTTCCATAGTAGCTGTACCATTTTAGCATTCCTACCAGCAGTGTACAGGGTTTCTAGTTTCTCTACATTCTCACCAAAATTGTTATTTTCTGTTTTGGTTTTTTTTTTGGTAGTGGGCATCCTAACGGGTTTGAGGTAGTATCTTACTATGCTTTTGATTTGCATTTTCCTGATGATTAGTGATGTTGAGCATCTCTTAATGTGCTTAACCATTTGCATATCTTCTTTGGAGGAATGTCTGTTCAAATCCTTTTTCCGGTTTTGAATTGAATTGTTTGCTTTTTGTTGTTGAGTTTTAGGTGTTCTCTGTATATTCTGGATGTTAATTCCTTACTAGATATATGATTTGCAAATATTTTCTCCCATTCTGTAGGTTGCTTTTTTACTCTGTTGATAATGTTTCGATGCACAGTAGTTTTTAATTTTCATGAAGTTCAATTTGTCTGTTTTTTCTTTTGTTTTCTTTTGTTGCCTTTGCCTTTGGTGTTGTGTTCAATAAATTGTTGCCAAATCCAGTGTCATGAAGCTTTTCCCCTATATTTTCTTCTAGGAGTTTTATAGTTTCAGGTTTTACAATTAGGTCTTCGATACATTTTGAACTAATTTTTATCTATGGTGTACTGTGAAGGTCCAACTTCATTCTTTTCTGTGTGGATTTCCACATTTCCTGGCACCATTTGTTAAAAAAGACTGTTCTTTCCCTATTGAATGGTCTTGGCACCCTTGTGAAAAATCATTTAATTATATATGTGAAGGTTTAGTTCTGGGTTCTTAATTGTGTTGCATTGATCTATATGTCTGTCTTTATGCCAGTACCACACTGTTTTTTTTATTACTGTAATGTATCTACTTTTAATGTTATAATTATTTTTCTTTGACACGTATTCAGGTCTGTCCTGTCCTAACGGAGATCTTAGTCTCTTGGAAGTTTGTGTTGTTCTTATCTCTATTCTCTTAACTCTGATTCCGGCTACGGTGTTTTCTTCTTTTCTTACTGCTTCTCTGAAATTGCTGTTGCTGAGGTCACTAACGAGCTCCGTAATTTCAGATCCAGTGGATGCTTCTGTATCCTTATCTGACTTGATTGTTGTGGCCTTCCTTCCTGAAATAGTTTTTCTTTTCCCCTTTCCTTTCTCTTTTTTCTTTATTTCTTTTTTTTTATTCTAAGCTATTACCTTGTTGTAGATTTTGGGTTTTATTTGTTTCTGGTTTTCTTTTTTCTTTTTTTCACCTTCAGTTTTCAGTTTTCTTTTTTACTTGTTTTGCCAGCCCTCTGCTTATCCCCAGGTATATACTCTTTTGATTGGTTTCCCTTAGGTCAGGTCATCAGCTGCTACCTGCAGTGATGATTCCCCAAACTAGAGCTGTGTAACTTGCTGCCATTTCCTTTCGGTAATAACTGTATCATGCTGAATTACCTAGAAGGGTCTGTGAAAGTTTTGGCATAAGTTTTAAGTCATAAATTGACTTAATCAGGTTTCTTCCTTGGTCCTCTTTGCTTCTCACTATAGGCTCTCCTTTGGAAATCTTCTCCATCTTCATAGTTTTAGTCATCATTTTTAGGCAGATGATTAACAACTTGCATCTTGAACATTGCTTTATTACTTTGTTGGCTGCCTTTTCTGCTGAGTGAATTTTTAAAGAATATTGTGTTAGATTAAATATTAGACATGCCAAACAAGTGAGTTAATTCAGATATCTTTAATCTGGTTCTGAAAAGCAACTCTTCACATCAGCATTATTTTATTGACTTTTTCTTTAGTTATATGTTCATTGCACATTTGAGAGAAGGCTTCAGAGAGGAGTTGAAGATTGATAGTATCTTCTTACAGGATAAGTAGAATTTTTCTATGTTGACAAAGTGAGTAGAGCATTTTAGAAGAGATTTCACATGTAAATGGGTCTGGAGCATCATTTCGGATGGATGTGATGCAGCAAATGACAGAAAATGACTCTGGGGAATTAGAAAGATATCATATTGGACATATGAGACCTTGAATGCCAGTCCATGGAGTTTGAATTTTTCCTGTTGGTAGTAGGAAACCTGTATATTAGTTTCGGTACCTAGCCTGCACTATATGACTGATAATTTCTTTTCTCTAGTGAGTAGAAGGATATATGGAAGCCATTCTCACAGGAGAAGATTGCAGTTATGTTTATGTGCCACGTCATTCTTGTCACTACTATGTTCTCTGTCTCTACACATTCATGAGTTCTTAAATTAAAAAAAAGTTTGGGAAACATTGAATTAAGCACTCCCAAGAAACTTCAAAAATGAAAATATGACTACACTGAACTAAATTTTCATCAACAGATTTTTCCTCTGTTGTTTAAGGGAGAATATTTTAGGCCTGAATTCAAAGATAATTGCTATTAGACGAGCTTCAGAGGATATTTGGTAGTACATGCCTTTCCTCCATGTCCTGTGCAAGTGCTTCTCTTGTTTTTATTGTGTAAGAAGAGGAAAGTATCCCATCATCTCTGTGAAATGTTCTTAATAACTTAAAGTACACTTGAAGAAGAAAGTGCTCATTAACTTGAGTTGGTGCCTAGCCACCATTAGGAATCATTCAGTTAGTGTCCAGGTTTTGGCAAAAAATTTTTTTTCTGTTTTGGTCAAGATCTGGGAATGTATTTTAGACTGGTAATAAAGCATACTTAAGTTTGCTAGGCTTGTTACCCAGCACCCAGCCTGGGTTGTGGCAAAAAGAATAGTGCCAATTAATTGTAATTCCAACTTTTGGAGCCCTTGAAGGATTTTTGGAAACTTTTAGCTGCCGGATAAACATTAAGCCCAGGCCTCTCAAACCTTTCTCAGTAGTGGAGATTAGGTACCAGTACTGTTGACACTCTGCCATTTTCCTTCTCACTCCTTTCCCTTTCTGTGGTGTAATCAGGACTGAAAGACCAGTTTCATGATATTCAGGTGCTCATTCTTGGTATGAAGGAACAGGGTGATTGTAATGCATATTATGTTGTTTCTCAGAAGCCTCATAAATACGATTTTGAACCAGACATTTTTCTTGACTCTCTGTCAAATCTGGTGTACTTTATATATACTGATTTCCCTTAGAAATAATCAGAAAAGGGTTGATATATACAAAACTGTAAGTCCTAGAAATAAAAGTCTCAATCAGTAGAAACCCACCATGTCTTAAAAAATTTAACAGTTCTAGTGCATCTTCACTTGCAGACTCTGTAAATAATTTTATTTTTTTAACATTTTTTATTGATTTATGATCATTTTACAATGTTGTGTCAAATTCCAGTGTAGAATACAATTTTTCAATTTTACATGAACATATATATATTCATTGTCACATTCCTTTCTCTGTGAGCTACCATAAGATCTTGTATATATTTCCCTGTGCTATACAGTATAATCTTGTTTATCTATTCTACAATTTTGAAATCCCAGTCTATCTCTTCCCACTCCCCATCCCCTTGGCAACCACAAGTCTGTATTCAATGTCTATGAGTCTATTTCTGTTCTGTATTTATACTTTGTTTGTTTTTTAGATTCCACATATGAGTGATCTCATATGGTATTTTTCTTTCTCTTTCTGGCTTGCTTCACTTGGAATGACATTCTCCAGGAGCATCCATGTTGCTACAAATGGTGTTATGTTGTCGGTTTTTATGGCTAAGTAGTATTCCATTGTATAAATATACCACATCTTCTTTATCCAGTCACCTGTTGATGGACATTTAGGCTGTTTCCATGTCTTGGCTATTGTAAATAATGCTGCTGTGAACATTGGGGTGCAGGTGTCATCCTGAAGTAGGTTTCCTTCTGGATATATGCCCAGGAGTGGGATTGCTGGATCATATGGTAAGTCTATTCCTAGTCTTTTGAGGAATCTCCATACTGTTTTCCACAGTGGCTGCGCCAAACTGCATTCCCACCAGCAGTGTAGGAGGGCTCCCCTTTCTCCACAGCCTCTCCAGCATTTGTCATTTGTGGATTTTTGAATGACGGCCATTCTGACTGGTGTGAGGTGATACCTCATTGTAGTTTTGATTTGCATTTCTCTGATAATTAGTGATATT